TTATTTCAGTTTATAAAATTTTAAATTCTACTCAAAATAAGGATTTATTTAATTAGAGACCAAATCCAAGGTAGTACAAAATTTTACCACTCAAAATTAGGGTTTAGCCTATTAGAAAATTTGTGATCAAACATGGGTCATAAATTTTGTTTATAATTTCAATTTTTGGCATGTGGAATTTAATTTGAAGGAAAAACAACTTTTTATTTTCAATTAACCGTGCTATGTAAGTGAAAATTTAGGAAAAGGACAAAAATAAAAAGAGCCTAAATTTAAAACTTTAAAAATTTGTACCAAAATTGAGGACCCAAATTTGAGGTTTAAAAAAAAAAAAAAAGGTTTGAAATTGTGTGGATTCGTTATTCCGGGTTTGAATCGGAAAAATCCGACCCGAATTACAGAACTGTCTCACACGTGAGTACCGGATACAAGCATGTGTCCAGGAACAGATAAGGCGGTCTCACTCCGGAAAGCGCTTCCACAGTGACAAACCATGGGCTCTCAACTTCTTCCTCAGGTACACCTTTCTCTGTAATTTCGATTCTTTTTCCTTTCTGCTATTTTTGAAGAAAGTTTTTACCTTTATGGGTTTCGATTTATAGGCGCTGCTTATGGTTCCCAGAAACCCAACGCAATCTCCTTGTCATGTGAACAAGTTGGGGTTTTTTCTCTCTCGTGCTTCATCGCCATTGATCACTGCCCATGTTTCAGTTTCTGGGCTTCGTTTAAACAACCCTGTTGGGTCAATTTTCAGTGCCTTTTCTAGAAGGGATTTTGTTGTGAGGGCAGAGTCGACTCCTGAAGGTGAAGTTGAAGCAGATGAAGCTAGTTCTGAGGAAGCAGAGGTAAAGGCAGAGGCAGGGGAGGAAGCAGAAGCGGAGGAAGGTTTGGAAGGGAAGGTTGAGGAGGTTGAGGAGGACGAGAATGCTAAGGAGCCACGAAAGCCCCGCATTAAACTTGGGGAGATAATGGGGGTAATTTGGTTTTTTCATCAAATGTATAATACATTTTAGCCTTTGATTCCTATGTAGCTTAAGGATTTGTTTCTTTTTAAATAGATATTGAATACACGAGCAATTGAAGCGTCGCAAACTGAAAGGCCAATTCCTGATCTCAGGACTGGTGATATTGTGGAGATTAAATTTGTAAATTGTCTTTCTCAATCTTCTTATTGAATTTTTATTATGTTTTCAAGTGATATCTTTTATATTTGGTTGTGTGGTTCACTTGCAGGCAGTTCCTCAAAATCGGCGTAGATTGGCTACCTACAAAGGTATTGTTATGTCAAAGCAGAACGCTGGTGTCCACACTACCATTCGAATTCGGAGAATTATTGCTGGCATTGGTGTTGAGATTGTATTCCCTGTGTGAGTAAATCTTCCATATCTTTTAGCATGGTTATAAATTACTAATGAGGTGTTTTTACATTTTTCAAACTGTTAATTGTTTACCATCCATAGTTCTATTTATATCTAGTCTTTAAGCCTCCACTGCATAATTCTATTACTTTGTGATTTAGGTAAAGTTTCTTGTTGTTTGGAAGACAGACATTTGATTTCCTTTAGTTTCAGTATTTCTTAAGTAATCATCATCTAAGTTGCTTTTGGATTTGGATAGTAGATAACTTGTAGTTAAAGTGTATTCTATCCTTTTATGTCTTTCACTTCATGATGCTGGATGTATATACTTTGTGGAAATTTTGGAAAGTACTGACACTTGGGAGCAAAAATATATTAAGGTAGTGCCTCATCTCTGGTGACTTTCATTCTAAAGGAAAACCTTCTTAGGCAAACAAATTTAAATGATAATTAGTAGATCATGATACTCCACATAGTTCCTTTATAAAGTATTGGCATTGTGGGTTAGGATATTGGGCTGTTGTACCAAAGAAGTCTAATGAAGATGAAGAGATAGCTAAAGGTTGCCATTTTGTTTAATGATCAAACTGTAGTGAACTCGTGTTAGGTGCAGAAACTTTGAAATATGATGTTTGAGATGGTAGCAATTGTGACAGTTTAACTCCCGTAGAACGGACTTGTTTAGTTAAATAAAGACATCAATTGCAGGAGATATCCTTATTAAATGGTTTGTTGAGCTTAACCACATCATTTAAACATCTAGAAAACCTTGATAGAAAATGCATGCTGCACAGTGGGCAATATATACACAATTACTCATAGTTTTTGATGCATATCAAGTCCAAATAGGATTTGTCTCTTATAAAGTTTACTTTCAACTGCGTTCTTCATTAGATACAATCTGATCTATTTTTTTCCTCTATTGATTCCACAGTTACTCACCAAACATCAAGGAAATTAAAGTGGTCAGCCACCGGAAAGTTAGGAAGGCAAGGTTGTATTATCTGAGAGAGAAGCTCCCCAGGCTCTCCACTTTCAAGTGAAAGGCACCACTGCCTTTGTTCTCTTGTTCTTTCATCTTCCAAACAAGTCCTTGATTGCCCAAATATTTTTGTATAAATTTTGTTGTATTCATAGATCTTCATATTTCCATTTCACAAAATGAAATCCAATTATCACTCCCCTTTTGCACTTACTCTTCATTTCAGGTTGTTAATGCAAATTTTCCATCTTTGAATGTAACTTCCTTTGTTTCATCTCTTGTTTATCCTTTTTAAAAAAATTTTTTTCTTGGATGCATGGCACTTTAGGGGGAGGGGGAGTGGGATTCAAACCCAGTTCTATGAGCGGGGAAGTGATGCACTTATCAACTTGGCTGGACGCCCAAGTCCATTCTCTTCGTTATCTTGTAAAACTGAATGATGCGTTCTGAAAATGAGGGATTGAAGGTGTCTTTATTTATCCAATCAAGATTCAAGTGCTTCCCCCTTGAATCATTGCTGTTTAGGCATAAAATAATTTCTTGTACTTGATATTCATTACAAGCGGCCCATGGTATTGTTGTAATCAAGCAAACCCATGCTCCCAATATTAATATGTATTAAGCACCATTAATTAATACTAGTAGTTTAATGAATGGCAATATCTGTCAGCAAAACTGAATTTTTGCACCTAAAAACTGCTACTCTATCATTCTCGCTCTCTTAAATGTATTTTGGATTAGAATTTTTTATACATAAATTTTATATATTATATTTACATAACATTTTAATATTTTATTTTTAACTTTTAATAAATAAATTTTATTTATTTTTATCATATTTATTAATAATAATTATCTTTTTTAATATAAAAAATCATTATAAATTTTCATAATTAAAAATAAAAAAATAAAAATTTATAATTTTATATAAATAAAATATATAAAATTTATATATAAATTAATTTCTACTCATATATTTTTATTCTCACTAAGTGGGCTACCTCAACAATGCTACAAAATTATTGTGGTTATTCTGATATCCCCCCAAATTATTTGGCAAAACCTACTTTGAGCCCCTCACCTTATCAAATTTAAAGGTTTTAGCCCCTCACCTTATATTATAACACTTTTAGCCTCTCATCTTACTAGATTTGTAGATTTTAGCTCCTTACCTTATATTATAACACTTTTAGCTCCTCTCATATCAAAATTAAAGAAAATAACCCTTATTTTATAACATTACATTATCTCTGTTAGTTGACTATTAATTTTATTAACTGACTGTTAATTCTGTTAGCTAACTGTTAATTCTGTTAGCTAACTGTTAATTCTATTAACTGATTATTAATTAACTATTAGCTAACAAAAATATTCTTTCAACTAATAGAGTTAACAGAACTAATTTTATAATATTTCGTTAATTTTATTAGTTGACTATTAGTTAACTGTTAGTTGATAAAAACTTACTTTAAGCTAAATACTCAGTATAAAGTGAGGATTATTTTTTTCGATTTTAATAGGTGAGGGGTTAAAACCTATAAATCTAATAAGGTATGGGGCTAAAAATATCATAATATAAGATAAGGGATTAAAACCTTTAAATTTAGTAAGGTAGAGAGCTAAAGTAAGTTTTGTCCAAATTATTTTACCCTTCATTTTTACTTTTATCTTTACTCATTCCAACATTTGAATTAGAGACAAGAGTCACAAGACACCTAGAGGAAATCAATTCTTTTTGTTTTAGTGAGAAAGCCTTTTTAACTCTCGAAGGCGGTTCCAGAGACCGTCATAAAATAAAAAAATATTACTTTTAAAAATCTTTCGTGAAAAGATATTATTTTTAGGGATTTTTTTGGTGAGGTTTTTCTTTATTCTGATTTTTTCTTTGTTAACAAGGAGCGAGTTCACTTGATACTGAAGAAACAAAGCAACAATAAAAATTGTGGCTCGGTTTCCGAACTCTAAAGGAATCCATTAAAGATTGGCCTTTTCTTTAGGTACTTGCACTTTAAACAAAAGCACTTTCTTTCGTGCTTTAATAGAATAATTTTCGTTTTATCCAAATAGAAATGTGTTTTTAGTATGAATTGCATTTTTTTTCTACAATTTAAATATTAAAATTATCATAATATTTTTAATAAAATTATAAATTATCTTTAATTTTATTTATTAATAATATTTTACTAATTTTAATATTTAAATTATAAAAAAAATAGTACATATCAAAAAAACAATTTTTTCTTATCCAAAAAAGAAAAGAAAAATGAAAAAGAGATACTATAGGGTCCACTTAAGAAATAAAAAACAATCGTGATTAAAACTCTAATTTAGTCTCTTTTCTTTGAAATAAAATTTATTTTTAGTCTTTCTATTTAAAATTTTCTTTTTTATTTTTTAAAATTTAAAATCTAACTTATTTTTAGTTCATTCGTTAAGTTTTTGTCCTGTAATATATTATCTTAACGATAATTTCAAAATAGAGACTAAAATAGATTTTTTTAAAGTAAAACAATAAAAAAATAACTTTTTACTAAAGTAAAAGAATAAAAATTTTTTTTATTAAAATAAACAGACTAAAAAATGATATCATTTTTGGTCCTTTATTTTGAAATTCCAGCACTTAAAATGTTGTGTATACAAAATTTAATAAAATAATAAAAAAAAGGTCAAATTTTAATTTTTAAAAATTAAAAATAAAATTTTTAAGTAAATGACTAAAAAATAATTTATTTATTTAACAAAAAAATAATTAAATTAATAAATTAATATATATTTTGAAAAATATTAAACTTGAAATCAAGAGTGCTTTCACCGACTGTTTTTTTTGGCAGTGGCCCAACGGGGCCACAACAGCCGAATGCAAACAATTTTTTTATTAAAGTAGGGGGACGAGTGGATTTAACCAAAAGTCTTTGTAGTGAGACCGACACGTCAGTTCCGTCCTTTATTTTTGTGCCACATCAGTGGGTCCCTCTTCCAGGGTGTTCTTTAGAGCCGGTCTTCAACTCCTTATTTACCCGACAGGTGTCTTCCCATTTCGCCTCCCTCCCTCCTCCTCCTCCTCACGAATTGGAGCTCTCCCGTCGCCTCTCCTGCCTCTGCCTTTGCCTCTGCCTCTGCCTCCTCCACACCCATCATCTCCTCCTTTCCTTCCGATCTCCGAGGAAGCAAAAAATCGTCTTTTCTTTTCAAAGCTTAATCTCACTCCGACCGTAGACCCCCGAGTTTGGCGGAGAGGATATCGGCGGAACTGCCGAACAATAAACTTCGATTTTGGACCTAGCCAGTGCCACCAGATGTCAGTTCCTCATGTGATTTCTCTCTTTGTTAATTACGGTGCTTAATATTAACTCATTTCTCTCTCTATGAATGGAAACTCTGCTTCTCCTTCTTTCTCTCTAGCTCGCGCAATTTTATCTGTGATGATTGTTTGATTTTGACGCTTAGGGTTTTGTTTCTTGGAATTGTTTTCGTATGACACAGATTCTTGCCGGCGGTTTTAATTGAGGTGTGAGATCCGGTGGTGCCGGAGGAGTATGGGACCAGTCATGACCGCTGGTGGCGGTAATAAGTTGATCTCTGTTCAGCCCAATGATCTCAAATTCATTTGTATGCATCGCCTCTCTTCCTCGCATTGGATTTATACATGTATCTTCTGGTGTTTATATATATGCATGAATGTGAACCATGTGAATCATGTAGTATATAGCATGTATACATGTTTGCATGTGTATGAATTTTATCCATCATCGGAGTTGGACATGAAACTTAGAGAATTACATGCCTGGTTAATTAATTTGTTGATTTAGTGGCACGGATTATGTTTAATTGTGTTAAGGCCTCGAGGGAAGGGAACGAATTCTAGGAAATTCATGGCATAATGTAGATTTTATGATAATGCGAATTTTGGAATGGAAATAAGTGCAAGATGCTGGTTCAGATGTGAGGGGGAAAGGGTTGATATGTTTGTTGTTCCCGGAGGATGCTGGTGGAGATTGTTTTCTATTCCAGAAGCTATAATTAAGAGAAATTTATAACAAATGGGATTAGCTGAATGCACTTACCATTTGATAAGCTAGCAGATTTTGTTGTAGGCTGAATGTTTGTTTGCTTTGTTTGTGGTGGATTCGATAGGCTCCTTATATGCCCCCTGTGCATATGTGTAATTTGAACCTAATGAAAAATTATGCTGAAGAAACTTGTTCGAACTGATTTTCTTGTCAACAGCATGTTTATAGGTTTGGGTTACTTGCCAACAAATCCAATATGCCTTTGATCACTTTCTGCATATATTAGATGACAACATGCAGTTAAGCTGTTAAGATGTGTCATCAATTTTGCTCCCCAATTTGAGTGCTTATTAGCAGATGTTCTTTTTCTTTATAATGCAAGTAAAATACATTGTATAAGTGATTATGATTGTTCATTTTAGTAATATTTTTTTGTCCAAACTTACTGGGTTTATAATCATGATTTTGTGTTGTCAGTTGAGCTTGGAAAGACAAGCTCTTGTGATCTTAAGGTTGTGAACAACACAGAACACCATGTTGCTTTTAAGGTACATTTAAGTGACTAGAAAGTGTACTCTCTATATATTTTGGGGGATTATATGACTATTTGATTTATTGTCTCTCAAATTCTTATTTTGCTAGGTTAAAACAACTTCACCTAAGAAGTACTTTGTACGACCAAACACTGGTGTTGTAGAGCCTTGGGACTCAATTGTCATTAGAGGTACTACTATTTTCAAAAATCACTTTCTTTTTCCCTTGAAGTGAGAAAGATATTGTCAAATAGTCAAATGACCATACAATTGAAATTAAGAAAATCTGCTGGCTGGCTTTTTGTGATTTATATTACTTGCCTTTGTTTGCATAGTAGGTTGCTACTCATATACTGATTCCCCTGATGAGTTTTTGGAATTCCAATGCATGATACTATTTCATTGATTTGCTTTAATAACAGTTACCCTCCAAGCCCAGAAGGAATATCCTCCAGATATGCAATGCAAAGACAAATTTCTTCTACTGAGTACTATAGTGTCTGCACATACTAATGTTGATGAGCTAGTACCTAATACTGTAAGAATGCTTATGTGGATGAAGTCCATTGTTTTTGACTAGCTTGATCATATTGTTCTAAAACAGCATTGATGTTGGACTTAAGATCTTTATCCTTGTTTTTAGTTTAATAAGGACAACGGTAAGGTGATAGAGGAGTGCAAGCTTAAAGTGTTTTACATGTCCCCTAACTCAGCTTCAGAAGATGCAGGATTAAGAAGCTCCATACAGAGCCTTGATTCAAACTCTGTAAGTTTAAATGAAGATTGGTTAGATTTTATATTTTCATTTTGGTTTATTCATGGAACCTAAATCAGGAATGTGTTTGCATGTTAAGTTTTATCACTTAACCTTGGAGGAAATGTCAAGGACATACTTTGAGATGCCATCTCTTCCTCCTATAAAATTTGACAGAAGGAGAAAAAATGACAGAGAAATCAGATTTACTACATAAGCACTTGATAGATTTTAACTCTGGGTAAAAGCCATTGCAAAACTTAGTCAGACCTGAGACTGAGCAGAAGTAGCTCATGAGAAATGACAGAATCAAATTTTGAATAAGTTCAAATGCTTATAGCTATTTGTCGGCTATGATTCTTGTTAATTTGTGAGCAATGATTTGCCAAGTGATACTGCACTTATCTTAGTTTATAATATGTTAGCAATTTGGACTTTTTTTTGTCATTATTATTATTTTTTTTCAACTAAAGCTAACTGAAGCGATAGCTTGAGAATTGTTGACTGACTTGCAATATTTATATCTTTATGCCTTTCATTAACTTTGCTTTGTATGTTAAACCAGGCTTTACAACGGTTGAAGGATGAAAGAGATGCAGCAATTCGACAAACAACGCAGCTGCAACAGGAACTGGTATAATTACCCTCTTTTTTTTTCTTTTTCTTTTTTTTGCTTTGATAATTTGATGCAATTTTTTTTCTTTTTTTTTCTTTTTTCTTTTTGTGAAGAGCTAGTGGTTTAAAGTTCTAGTTCAACCCAATCCAATGTAGTTTGGGTGAAAGGACTCGCTCTCCAACCAGCAGACCAAAGGAAAAATTTTAAGAGTAATGAAGTGCATATTATCATTATTTCCTCCAAGTAGGCCTTAGTGACATATGACAATGCTGTCATAATCTTAATTAATTTCCCCAACTTGGAACTTTACCAAACTTAGAGCTATTCATTGAGACAGAAACCTGTGTCAATGATTGGAGAGCAGTTTCTTGATTGGGTTCCAAAGACACTAGATTTACTATTGTTTTGTTTAACTTTCATTTAGGTTTAAGTGATCAAGTATTCTGTCATTCTGTGTTATCAATCAAAGTAGCATACAACTGTGAATGGTTATTAGTAATATTTGGATAATCTTGTCTTGAAATAAAGAAGAGGTAGATGATGATTGAACAACTTGTTCCCTCTCACAGGACATGCTGAAGAGACGAAGACATCGAAAAGGTGACTCTGGCTTCTCTATCACTTTTGCAGTCTTTGTGGGACTTATTGGAATCATGGTTGGCTTTCTCTTGAATCTCTCTTTGTCTTCACCACTACCAACAGAATGAATTTACAGCATTCACAACAGTGAGAGTATTTTTTTCCCACTTATTTCTATTTTGTTCTGTAGTAGGCCTCTCCACTATAGTTGCCTGCTTTATGTACCCAGAAATATCAGTGTCCCAAGTTACCCATTGTGTCTTGCCTATAGATTTTGTGAGGCTTTTCCTGTGACGAGGAAAAATATTGGTAGGTAAAATGACTGGGAGAGAGCTTGTTATATTGGTAGTTTCCCTCACATTTGTTGAGAGTGTCAACATAAATGTCTTGGTTGATACATTTTTCATGAAGATTAACTTGCAGCCCTTATTTGGTTATTTGAATTGAAAGAAATGTAATTCTAAATATAATTGGGATTGCTGTCATTTGTGACTCTGCATATGGTGACTCAAATTTGATTAAACTGTGTTTAAGTGAACAAATCATGTCTGCATAATTAATAAGGGCTTAGTTAAAGAAAGAACCGTAAGTTCTCCTGATTTGGTGCTATGTTCATGATTTCAAACCTTTGTAATAGTAGATAACTTTTATCCTTTTCTTGATTTACCTCGGAAAATATGTATTCATATTCCGCAACTAAATATTATGAAATGTCGAAGGGGAGGTCATGGTCACCACTCAAATTATTAAGGCCACTAAATTTGTATATAATTTAACTAATATTTCTAATTTTTTAAAAAATAAATAATTATAATATATAAATATATATTTTTTATTGATAAAAAGTATTAATTTATAAATTAATTTAAATTTATTAAGTAATAAATATTAATTATTTCATTAATTATTAACTATTTTAATAATAAAAACAAATAAAATAATATTTTTTAAGATAATTTTAGTTTCTTTAACAACTTGAACGAGGTCCATAGCCACAACCATGTCAAAAGTATCAGTATTGAATGTGGATTTTAGGGGAAACAAGCCACATAAAATTGAGGCTGCCCGTGCCTAATAACAAAACTACAAGCTCCAATTGGATGAAAACACCTAAACAATAAGAATTAATTCGGAGTTTCTAAAAATTTAAAGGGCTTTATTTATGTTGAAGGAGGAAATAACACTTTTTGTTTTTGTCAAATAACCCGCTCCTTCCTCCACGCGACCTCTGTTCTCCCAGTCCCATCATGATTAGGTTATGTTCGGATACAAATTAGTAAGAGGACTGCTAGCTGCAGTCGCTTTAAACACCTGCTCTTTAACACCCGTGTTCTCATTTTGCCACGTCATTTACACGTTTAAAGATGTACCGATAACCGAACTCAGCAGTCACTTACTAAAAGACAAATTATAATACAAACCAAAGCAATTTTACTTTTCTCCAATTTACCCAGATCCAATTTTATACGATAGCTTGAAAACCCCCACCTTTAATCTGCAAAAGCAAAACCACTTGCTCTTTGTTAGTTCCCTTTGCTATTCACAGGGGTGGCACAAGGAGGGCAAGGGCAAGCTACTTTTCATTTGGCATCGATAAAGCGGCTGTAGCACCAGGATAGAGTTTGGGTTAATGGAGTTGAAAATAGAAGGAAAAACGGAAGGTTTTATTGGTTATTGTTGTGTTGCATGATTTAAGGGCTCCTTTAGTCCTTTGTTTGCTGCTTTCTTTGGATAAAAGGGTTGTTCTTTTATTCAACTTCTCCATTTTTGTCTGCCCCCATGCTCGTCGACCTCAAAAGTTTTGTATTATAATTTTATTAAATTGATCAAAAAATTAGAATTGTAAAAATTTAGTAATGTTAATTATTTATAGCCCTCCTCTCAAACATCAAGACAAGATCTGATTTATTTGTGAGAATATATTTCTTTTTGAATGATCCGATGGTACCTAAAAAAAAACCTGAAATCTAGTCATAGAAAAATTATTCTTTTATTTAATTAGACCCCAAGAAAAAAGAAGAGAAAATTATTTTGGTTATGACTAAAGAATGAAAAACCCTAGAGAGAGACAGAGTTGCTGCAACTGCTAGCTTAAGGGAGAAACATGAAGTAGAGCAGCAGTAAAAAATAGGGAAAAGAGAGCCAGAAGACCAGAACCCAGAAGAAACAGAGGCGTTCATAGCTTTAGGAAAAGAGAGAAACTCCGGAGGAAGGTTGGCATTTGTGAAGAGATGGATTTGAGCTGCTGGAAAGAAAGAGATGGTGAACTAGTGATTGATGAAGGGAAAACTAGACAACCATGGTAAACAGGCAAATTCAGAGGTCGGAGGAGGTAAAGTGGGTGATAATTGGTTGAGGCTTCCTTTTAGTTATAGTTTTTCCTTTTTTTTTTTTTTTTCACTCACTTTGCAGTTTCAATTTTTGTCTTTTAGCAAGTGAACTTTAGAGAACGGTTTCCGGTTAACCTTGAAAAGCAAAAATGAAGTGGCAAAGTGAGAAAGCGGGTGTTCAAGGGCGGGTGTTCAAAGCGACTGCAGCTAGCATTACTCAATTAGTAAAAGAAAGGAAAGGGGAGAGAGGGAAAGAAAAAGAAAGAAAAGTGAAGAGAAAGAAAATATTGATATTAATTTTATTTGAATAGATGAAAGGAAAAAAGAGGAAATGATAATATTTTTATTTAATTTAATAATTTAATAAAAAACTAAAAAAATAAAATTTTTAAAATTTATTAATTAAATAAATAATTAAAATAAAATATTTACATATATTTAATTTATAAAAAATTTAAAACAAAAATAAATTAAATAATAAAATTCCTATCAATCTCTTCAAATAAGAGGAATTGATAATACAGAAGCGAATGGGACTCCCTTCATTTGCCTTTAACCAACTCTGATTCTGTTATCGTTTGCCTTAGTGGGCACAGGAATATCTACTTGTCGGCTATGAATTCGCCTGGTGAATTATTAAGCTATGACTTCCCTTGCCTGAGAGACAAGCCTCTTCCTTACAGGCGTATTCAGGTACGAGGTCCCTGGAACGGATTGACTTGTTTAACCGTGTTTGATCGCTTTCTCATTATCTCAAAATTTTCAACCAAAGATTATCACATCACGTTATTCCCATCTGATGAAAAGTTTTATCCTTTTTATGGATTCGGATTCGATTCGGTCAGTGATGATTATAAGGTGCTGATGATTGTTCCTTATAATGATTATTCTGTGAAACAGCAGTTTATACTCTGAGATGTAATGCGTGGAGCCCAACTAAAAGTTGTTGAAGATTTCCTCCTTTAGATCCTGAATCTCTTCTGATACCGTAAACGGAGTTTTTTGCTCTGGTGCTCTTCATTGGCTTGCGGAGGAGTCTCAACATGATTACTACCCCAGATTCATCCTGGCTTTTGATCTCACCACTGAAGAGTTTCACGAGATGCCATTGCCTCCACAAGAAGGTAAAGGAAGGGGTATGAGAGTCGATAACAATTGCCAGCTGGGGGTACTTGAAGGGTGCCTCTTCATGTCAAGCAGTCCAAAACCGATTTATGATATATGGATCATGAAAGATTATAACATCCATGGTTGTTGGACTAAACTGTTTCGGATTATGTCAAATATGGGGTGGACTGCTCTGACTCTGCTGTTCCATTCAAGGAGTGACCATAAAGTTCTGTTGTTATCAGAGAGTAGACCTGTTTCTGCTGGTATAATCTAGAGAGGGGACAACTGGAACATGTTCTTACTTCAAAAATATCTCCTCTAGGTGGATACCTTGATGTGTACACAGCAGCTATTTGTTTAGGAACCCTTGTTTCCATAAGTGCCTATAAAGTTTTATGGAAGGAAGATTCAAACTCAAGCAGGAAAGGAAGAGGAAGAAAAAGGAGGAGATCAATGGTTGGCAAGTTTGATGAGGCTTTATTGTGTTTCTTAGTTTTCCTTAAGAGGTTTAATTCTGTTCAGTCTAAATGTTACTATTCTTTATAATAATAGATACTTGACTTATGGGTTGAGGATAGGCATCTGCTGTTATGGTTTAAGGTGACTAGCCTAGCATGTTTGGTTGTTGTATGTTTGTGTGTTTGTAGAATGGAGTATCAGTCTGCACTGTGTTTGGGGCAAAAGTTTTGGTGCCTGACTGCATCAATTCAGAGCCCTTATTTGCATTAATCTCTCTGGAGCAAAAGTTTTAGTTGTCTTTTTTATTTTTTTAACATTTTCAAGTTTTAGTTAGCCACTCTGTCTATCCCTTGATATGCCTTTTCTTGCCTAGCAGTGTTGTGAAGGAATTGAGTCCTGTTGTAGGGATTTCTTATGGAAAGGTCATAACAGCTAGGGCCTGCCCCTTGTTGCCTGGGAAGGAGTCTGTGTTCCAAGGTCAGAAGGAGGATTGGGTGTTAAACAATTGAAGCCTTGGAATCAAGCTGCTTCTGAAGAACTATTATGATGCATCAATGCTTAGCCTGAGAGGATTTGGTCTGCTTGGACTCGTGCAGAGTTGTTGAAAACCCAAAGCATGTGGAATATTAAAATTCCCGCTGTTTTTTCTTGGTTGTAGACAAAATTATTGAAGATGCAGGGATTGTTTAAGGCCTATATCAGAATGGTTGTTGGTGATGGGAGAGAAACCTCCCTATTCTTTGACTGGTGGTTTGGGGAGAGTAGAATCTGTGATAGAGCAGGGTGGATAGATAAGGAGAATTCATGGGGGAGAACTGTGAATGTGGCTGGCTGGTGGGTAGATGGTCATTGGAGAATACCACGGAGCTTTAAAAGAATATGACCTGATACTGCTGCTTGGCTTTTAACTGCTTCAGGTGAGTTTTCCGTTGCTAATGCATATAACCTCTTGTGCCTTAGGAAGAGGACGGTATTATGGCATAAAATGGTGTGGTCTAGCTGTGCAATCCTAAGGCATGCTTTCATTAGCTGGCTCATAGTTAGAGATAGGCTCAAGACAAAAGTGGTGTTATGCCAGAAAGGGATTGTGGTTGATAGTGCTTGTGTTTTGTGTCAGGAAAGTGAGGAGAATTGCCAACATTTACTTTTTGAGTGTGCCTATGGAAAGGCAGTCTGGTCTGGAATCTTGCTGGAGTTGGGTATAACTTGTCCCCCATATTGTGGAGTTGTGAGTGGTTGTGGCTGAGCAGTCTATGTAGGAGTTGAGGAAGACAGGCTAGAAAGAATCAAAGCTGCTTTTGCTGCCTCTGTCTACCATATATGGCAGGAAAGAAATTCCAGAATATTTTGCCACCAGAGTATCCCCATCAGTTGTTGTGAGCTTAGTGAAAGCATGTATTTGATTTAAGGGCTGCTTAACTGTTTTATGTTAGCTTATGTTTAGAGTACTGAGTTTGTGAACCTGGGTATGCCTGGGTATATAAATGTAATTACCCAGTTGAGATTTTTGCAATATAATGAACTTACCGGTTCCCAAAAGAAAGTTGCATTAATCTTTTCTCTCTCATTTTTAATCCAATAATTATAGCTCACATTTAATAATTTGTTACATTCACAATGTCTTTTCCCAAGTTGCAAGAATAATAAATCAATTATTATAGTAATAATAAGTTAAATATAACAATGGCATTTCTTTTTCTTACTCTTTTTGGATTGCAGCATTTGAAGCTAAGTCAAGCTAGGAAGAAATTGCAGCCTAATGTACAAATATCTATATTAATGAATAAGCCATAAAACCTCAAATCCTTTTCTTCCTCTTATTAATATTCTAATTAGAAGCCTTGGGAAGCACTTGTATCATTTGGTATGAGAGGATTGTAAAACTCTACACATCAATACATTCTACCTTTGCAGTATGAAGAACCACAATCACAAGGTTTCTTCTTGATATTGCCATTAGCATCAAAAACTTTATCTATCCCACAGTTGTAATCAAATGACAGTTCTTGCATGCGAGGTATGTCCACAGCAGCAAAAAACATAATATGAGGACATCTCCTATCATCGTGGTTAAAGAGGACATTTTGTGCAACCAGATTGGGTGAGCAGCTGTGGTTTATGAATCTCCCAACATTTCCTATCTGTGCTGCGTCAATGGTGTAGCCAACTTTATCCTCTATTTGGGAAGAACCTGATGCACAACCAATGTCATAAAGATAATCAAAACATTCAATTCTTTGATCTGCCTCCTCATGGTTGAGCAGCTCCCCCAAATATTCACATATAAAGCTTCCAGAAGCAATGGAGTTTAGGGATCTTGCACCCCAGCCCCTTTTTTCAGTCATAAAAATTTCAAGCTGATATCTTATACCATGCTGGCTAACTCTGTTGTAGCAAGAAGGGGGGCACTTGCAAGTAGGGCCACACTCATAGACAAGAGGCTTTATTGTCAAAAGAGCCCCATATTCGTTATATGGCATTCCTGCATTCTTCATCACACAAGAACACTTCCTAAAATCTGAACAGCTATGACGACAATCACAACCCTTAGAAGGAACAAGAGCATACCAATCAGGATATACCATTTCATTCACATAATGAAACTGTGGAGGTAGATCATCATTTATCTTGTTATAGGCACTAATAGGTATTACCTCTCTACCTTGAGACATATCATAGACACAGATCCCATTCCTGAGTTTCCTTGTTTTCTTTGGAAGTTTAGGAGGCAGCCTTGGTTGACCATCACAACGAACCAAGTTAAAAATATAGATTAGTTTTCCATCTATCCCTACTTCTTGCTCACATCCCCTCACAGTATAAAGTCCATCATATATGTATCTTTGACCTCTAGAATCTGATGAAGATGAAGATCTTTCTACAGCCCATATGACCCTGATGGCGGTCCATGTAGCTTTGTTGTTCGATAGAGCAAGGTTTATTTCATCAAATTTCTGATCTTCAGCCATCTTATTGCTATACATCACATTTTCTCCTTCAGCTCTGTAAAACAATGTATCTGGTCTGTGTAAGTCATTTTCATAACCACCAAATGCTATGATGCTTGTAGCAAGAATGGTATCACTTTCCTTCACATAGTCTATACTACTCTGAGGTTGGGAATGTAGACCAACTATGTTAAGTTCATGATACTGAAATACATCCCCAATCTGAACCCCTGGAACATCTCCCCTAATTTTTTTATTTATGTTAATATATTTCCCTTTGGCCTTCAGAATTTCTGCCATTTGATTATCAATGCTAGCTGATCCTTCATATAATAGCTTCCTAGACACAAGTCGAGCAAAATGTAATGTCTCGTTAATTTTGTTTCTTAGAACTCCTTGATCCTCTTCTACATATTCTTCATCGTGCAAGTTCTTGTTTTTCTGAAGAGCAGCCACTCTCATTTTCTCTTCCTCAGGGAGTGGTGCAGCATTCCTTCCACAAAATGGAGGGAAATCCCTAGTTACTGAGACATTTCTCCTAGACACCTTTCTAGGCTTATCCTTCACAGCAGTCCTTCCACACCCAGGTGGAAAGTCTCTAACAACAGACACTCCGCGTCTCTTATACTTAGCTGTTGCACTAGAAAGAGAAACAGTATTGCCCTTCTCTGTTGGCAAAATCCTTGATTTTCCACCAGAATCAATATCATCACTTGATGAGACCATTTTTTATGCCATTCTGCAAAACAAGTTTCAAATTTTATCAGTCAATTGATACTTTTGTCCAATCATTCAATGTATTAATGACAAATTCCAGGAAGATTAAAGTCCCTTTAGCTCCTGGATGCCCTTCACCGCAGAAGAAAGCATCCCATGACATCCTAAGTTATGTCAAGAAACTCCTTAGAGTTTATCCCAGAGAGGGAAAGACAATCAAGTAATCCCCTTTCAACTACAAGCAGCGCTCCAAAACCCAGGACTGCAACTTCAGTCATTACTACTAAACTAGTATGGCCATTTTCAAAGAAGCCATCAAAGATCAAACAAAACGGGATCAACATTCTGACAAACTGGATAGATCCATAACAGCTCACAATGACAGAACCAGCATCCCTATATGTCTTCTAACTTCTATTTTGTACTTTTCCAAGCTTTCATCAAAAACCAGAGTAGCATATACCATACCAATCAATCTAAAAATTCCTTAACCAAGTACTTCTAATGTCAAGGAAACAAATATTGAAGGAGAACGACAAGCAAACAAACCATGAAACAAAACAAGTATTTCTAGTACCATATTTAAGCAAATTAAATTTAACAGTTAACAGTACAGTTTTGTAGAGACACAAACAACTTTGGCAAGAGTACAATAGAGATTTTGATTTCCTTCTTTTTTCCTACTAAGTTTCTCTGCAGCCAAATAAGATTTGGAGCCATAAATTGACTTTATACCAAGAAAGAACGTAGAAATAAAAGGAAAAAAAAATTGAAAATTACGAGAAGATTTTTGAGGAGAAGACAAATTTAACAGTTACTAGTAAAGTTTCTCAGAGACACAATAGAGTGTAGGTGGAGCCATAAATCGATTATATATATATATATATATATATATATATATAAAGAA